GAAAGTTAACCGGGCATGGTGGTGGGTGCCCGTAGTCCCAGCTACTTGGGAGGCTGAGGGAGAAAAACTGCTTGACCTTGGGAGGCAGAGGTTGCAGTGAGCCAAGATCATACCACTGCACTCCAACCTGGGCAACAGAGCGAGATTCCATCTCAAAAAAAAAAAAAATGTATAGAACTATTATGGTTATTTGTTTCTTCTTGGGTGGATTTTAGTAGTTTGTAGATTTGATCTATTGCTTCTAAGCTATCAAATGTGTGTGTATAGAGTTGTTCATAGCATTCTCTTATTCTTCTTTTAATGTTGACGTGGTCCTTAGTTATAGCCCCTTTCATTCCTGACATGAGTGACTTATACCTTTTCCTTTTTTTCTTTGTTAGTCTGGCTAAAGATTTATCAACTTTATTAATATTTGTAAACAATCAGTTTTTGGTTTAATTGACTTCTCCCCATGGCTTTTCTGATCTTTATCTTTCTTCTTTCAAAATACCATTTATATCTAGAGAAAATTTTCTGAATTTATTATGTTCTCCTTTTTTGTGGTCCTTAAGGTAAAAGGTTAGATTGCTGATTTGAGATCTTTCTTTACTAAATTTCTTATTTTTTGACAGACTACTCTGTCACCCAGGCTGGAGTGCAGTGGCGTGATCATGGCTTACTGCACCCTCAATCTTCTGAGTCCAAGCAATCCTCCTACCTCAGCTTCCTGAGTAGCTGGGACCACAAGTGCACATCACCATGCCCAGTTAATTTTTTTTTTTTTTTGAGATGGAGTCTCACTCTGTTGCCCAGGCTGGAGTGCAGTGGCACAATCTTGGCTCACTGCAACCTCTGCCTCCAGGGTTCAAGTGATTGTCCTGCCTCAGCCTCCCAAGTAGCTGGGAATACAGGTGCCTGCCACCACACCCAGCTAATTTTTGTATTTTTAGTAGAAACGGTGTTTCGTCATGTTGGCCAGGCTGGTCTCAAAGTCCTGACCTCAAGTGATCTGCCTGCCTCAGCCTCCCAAAGTTCTGGGATTACAGGTGTGAGCCACCAAGGCTGGCTAATTTTTAAATTTTTTATAGAGATGAAATCTCACTGTGTTGCCCAGGCTGATCTTGAATTTCTGGCCTCAGTGATCATCCTGCCTTGGCCTCCCAAAGTGCTGGGATTACGAGTCTGAGCCACCATGCCTGGCCTCCACAAATTTCTGATGGCAATTTCAGGGAAAAAAGGACTTAAATCGAGTGATTGCTATTAAATCTTAGTAAGGTTTAAAATACAAAAAAAACTTAATGAGGTTTAATATTTATACAGATAAGTATGTACATATTATCTAGGCAAAATACCATTTATATCTAGAGAAAATATTTCCAAAAAATTATTGGGACTTAAGAGAATTTGATTACTTTAGGTATCAAACCCTTAGACTTTTATTGCCATTCCCCTACTCCCACCCAATTCTGCCAAAAAAAAAAGTGGAAGAAAGGAAGAAAAGGAGGAAGAAAGGAAAAATGTAGCACATTTTTCTAGGTATTAGCATCACAGCCGGTAATTCCATCTACTGGAAGGCTTAACAGGAAGAGGCAACTCTGGAGCCAGGCAGAACTTGGTCTGAATTCTGGCTGAGCTGCTTCAGCTGTGTGGCCATGATCAAGTCATTTAGTCTGTGTCCTTCAATCAGCTCATCTATAAAATGGGATAATAATCATCATAATAAAGGCCGGCCTGGGGGCTCACGACTGTAATCCCAGCACTTTGGGAGGCCAAGGCAGGCAGATCTCTTGAGGTCAGGAGTTTGAGACCAGCTTGGCCAACAGGGTGAAACCCCGTCTTTACTAAAACTACAAAAATCAGCCAGGCATGGTGGAACACACCTGTGGTCCCAGATACTCAGATGCTGAGGCAGAGAATCACTTGAACCCAGGAGGCAGATGTTGCAGTGCGCTGAGATTGTGCCACTGTACTTCAGCCTGGGTGACAGCGTGAGACTCCATCTCAAAAAACAAAAATCATAATAAAAATATCCAAGGTTTTCTTATTTGTAAAGTGAATTGTCTGTATTCACTTTGCAGAGCTATTGTGAAAATTAAATGGGATGATTCATGTGAAGCACCATATTGCATAGCTCATAGTAGATGCTTAGTCTGTTTGGGCTTCTTTAACAAAAATGCCACAGACTAGGTGGCTTATACACAACAGCAATTTATTTCTCACAATTCTGGAGGCTGAGAAGTCTAAGATTAAACCATGGGCAGAAGAGGTGAGTCTAATGGAGTGTGGAGTGTTGAGAGCTACCAGGAGCTGCCTCATGCTGTGGACTGATGTTCCAACAGGAGTCAGGACAGTCAAAATGAGCATGAAAGGTAGCCAAAGACTAACTTTGGAGGTGGTTTTATTCCTATGGAGGTCAGCGAAATGAAGATAGCAAGTCACCCTTTGTCAGACTGTGATTTCAGTTCCATTTTGAGAAAATGGAGCAGTTCCCAGCTCTCTGCTGGAAGGAACAAGAGGTAGGAACAAGGCCCAGGCTGATGCTGTGTGTTGGGTTCGGTAATGGGAGATTGATGCCATTTGTGTGATGTGTGATAAGATGCATGAGGTGTAAGCGGCTCTTAACACTGGTTAACAAAAAAGTTGACCACCAGCACACACAGCCATTGTTTCCAGCAGCACTCTTCAGTGATGGGCTTTGGCTGGCTGGCTTCACAAAAGACAAATGCCATTACAGGAGACCAAATAACCTTATTTAGGCAGTTGTGAGATAATAGAGGCGCTCCAGGTATTAACCTGACTGCATTAGTTTGATTTGTTACTACTGTTCACCTTGTCCTGAGCATTAATGGAGACAAAGGCCTAGAATTACCAGGAACAGAAATAAGCTGTGGATTAGAGCCTACATGTTTTAAGGGAAAGAAAATTCTATCTTGGGTTTTCCTTTCCATTTTCATTTTGCTTGATTTTTCCTGAGTCCAGTTTCACCCCCGAATATCATTATATTCTCTTCAAATTTCTTGCAATTGTAAATCCAAAAATGTTACTGATTCATTTCTTTTAACATGATCAGCCTTTATCTTTAGGTTTTTAGCAAAGATTTTAGGGAAAATATACTAGCAATCTTTTATATTATCCTGCTTCTTGAGTATTCTTATATATTATGAACTTGCTTCACAAAAGTTATAATAGAACTTATATTTTGTTATTAGTATCAAAAAATATAAAAATAGACATATTTACAGTTATTTAATATGATAAATTTTGGTTTTAATTTTTCTGACTTATAAATATTGTTATAAATATATCATTTCTATTATAAATGATTTCAGTTATAAATATGTAGCTTCAGTTATAAGTATATAACCAGTTATAAACACAATTTATTTCAATTATAAATAAAATTGAATTTCAGGGCCACATAAATCAGTTACATAAAATTGTCATTGGAAAATACTGAGATAATGATAGTCTAGAGTTACTACTATGTTTCTCTCCTCACCAGATGTTTTAGAGTTATGACTAGTTTTTAAAATTAAAAAAAAACTTAAGTGAATTATTGGTTGTTGATCGCTATCTGTGATGGTGTTTCATTTTTCTCTAGATTCTACAATTTTACACACAATCTTCACATTCCTCAGGGATTTGAGAATTAGGTTTAATTGTAGAAATTCTAGATAAGCTATGATTACTCTGAATAATCTCAATTTATGAAAAGCACTACTTCAAAAATACTTAATATTGTGGAATTGTTTATTATTGTGTATAAGACTTGAAATCTTATCCTAAACCAAGCAGACATTCAGGAGACAGAGCTATAATTCTGACATGGCAGGATGTCAGAGAGATGCAAAACAGAATGTCAAATATGATCACATTTTTTAAAATAATAAAAAAAAACAAACATATGTGTGTGTGTTTATATATAAAAAGATGCTTTTATGATACACAAAAAGGTCTATAAAGATGTTTAATGATGGTTATCTCTTAAGGATAAGATTCAAGGGGGGGATTTTACTCTACTTCTATACTGCTTACATTGTTTGCAGAATTTAGAATGACAATAAATTTGGAATTAAAATAAAAGCTTACTCATCATGTGACACATTCCCCTCCAACCCACTCCCCGAGAGTCTACTCCTGGTAACTTCCAGTCTTCCAATTTAACATAATTTCCTAATAACCTAATGGAGAACAAAGAAAACTCTTTGTGGATAAATTTTAACTAATACATTTCATAAATAGTACTTCTAATTTTTATGTGAATGGAAGCAGCTCTTTATATTGGAAAAAGTGGCCCAGTCTTTTTCGGAAAACATGTAATGCCTTTGTTCTTCCTAACTGCCCTGTTGCCCTTCTTTTCCTCCTCCCTCTCTGTCTCAGCAACAGTAGAACATTGCTGCTTAATGCTGATCAATTGTTGGGACACAGCTCTGTACCCCAAATGTGCTCTCAGTAAATAATTTTTAAAAGCTCTAAAATCTGAGTCAAATCTGCTTTTCCTTAGAAATAATATACAAATTCCCTCTAGTCTTTCATATATAAAAAAATATATAGTGGTTATAGATTCAATAACGCAATGAGAACTTCACACCTGATCATCACTGGGACATCATAAAGGACAGAGGATAGAAAGAAAAGAGAAGCAAGGGAGAATTCTATTCAAATGGACAAAGCTGAAGTTTGGCTTCCAGTGGACAAAGTCAGCGTCTTAAGCTGACATTTCAAAAAAAGAGAGAACAAAAACACCCACTTAGGTATTCCATTAACTAGAAAACAAATACTTACATTTCCAGTGGAGAGGGTTCCCTTCTTGTTATATATCTTATTCTAGTCCCATCTTGAATTGGCAGGTAAAATGAGAAAATGAGAAATGAAGGCACATAGTTTTTGTCACTTAGAAAACATCCTGATTATTTCCAGTGACTATGTCAAAGCACTTACAAAAGGTAGGTCAGTTATCCTGCCTTCTCAGTCAACCTAATTTTGCAGTTGATTGGAAATCATTAAACTGGAAATAAATATAAGCTAGATGATCACTATCACTTTATTGAATGAAAGTACAAAATTAAACTAGAACACTAAAATTTTGCATTTTTTTGGTAGCTTAATTTTTTGTTTGTTGCTTAATTCTTCTGTGCAATTCAATACCAATGGCATATAATATGATAGATGATGCTTGTATATTTCTACTTTGGCATAATGACTTTGCTTGAAAAAACTTGAAACTAACACTTTAAGAATTTGTTTTGATAGATGATGAGAAATTCTCACTGCTTTATGCTATTAATCAAGAGAAGTTCAAGATTTGTCAATAAATCATAACCTATAATATAGTTAAGAATAATCATGTTCCAAATGTACATTGAGGAAACTAATGGAAACAACTCACATCTTTGCTCTTCAGATGATTTCACTTGAAATATTTTACAAATAGAATCCAACTTGTGGAATCACTTAGTCATGAGTCTATTGATTTTAACAAACTAATTTATTAGGTTAATTTTGCTCACTTAAAAAATAGCAATCTTTTCTGAAAATGATTATTAAAATATATAAGAAAGGTCTTTACTATAACTAAAAGTGCCCAAATATAATATGTACCATGCTATAATAGTAATTATTTACAATATATTTTTGGAAAAAAATGACAATATGCAGATTAAATGCAGTAAAGAAAACATCACATTTTAACACTTAATATTTCCACTGATTCTTCATGCTCTGCAATTAGAAGATAATTTCACTTGTTTAATTTTCTATCTATTCCAGGAGATTTGTGTCGAAATTTTTTTTCGCCATTAGAAATTGTGATTCTCTATGGGACCTTTTCAGTTTTGCACGCCGATTTTGGAACCAAATCTAAAATTAAGGAAAAATAAAATAGGTCTCAGAAAGATTATTTTATTATTTTTAACATTTCAACCATCATGAATAACAACTAAATTTGAAAATTACCTGGATTCTGTCTTCCTCTAGATTCAATTTTCGAGCTAAGTCTTCTCTAATATCAATGCCAGGATAGCAGTTTACTCTAAAGACATTTTCTAACACTTCAATCTAAGAATAAGAAAATAAATCTTTAAAATGTTGATATTCAGTATGTCACCAAAAATGAGCTTTAATTTCTAGAGCAAAATGACTGCATTTAAATATTGGCAATTAATCTGGATGCCTTTTTAAAAATGATTACTTAGAAATTGTTAAAATATGATAGTCTATTGTTTCATTAATAAGGCTTCTAAACTGAGATACCAAAGTGAATGACTTTTGCTCAACTTGGTGTCAATTAAAAGCTTTTATTATCATTATTGGGTGAAAAAACTTCCCACCTGGTTTTGAGTAAAAGCAGTTCTTGGTCTTCGGCCTCTATACCAACTCAACTCTCTTTTCAAATACAGTCTTTCTGAGGCTGAAAAGTAATTTTCATATTTTGAAGCTCTTTCTTCTGGTATTGGGTGATCCACCATGCTAGGGAATGAAATCCCACTGGGAGGATTTGGGACATGTAGACATAAGTTACCATCTTTACCTAAAAACAGAAAAATAAACCCCATTTTAGATGGTCAGTCTTATGTTTCACAAAGCTCTATAAGAGGTAGTTTCAGGGACTCACCTTTCATTTCCTAGTGGAATTCTTCTGAGTTTCACAAGAGAATCAGCCCCCATCAACCAAAAACTGAAAACCAATAAAAAATGAAGATCCTGTCTTGGTAATCCTGCCTCTTTGGTCTCTAAATGTTGTTTATTTTTCAGTGAAAAGAGATTTCAAATATCTGATGTATCAAACACAGAGAGAGATCTTCTGAAGTAAGTGCAGGTTCTTGGCATTTCCTGTGATCGAACTTTATATCCACTTTGCTCGATCCAAAACTGTTATATTCTTTTCATTTCCCACAGGACTCAGCTGGAGGCTTTAAAAGTTCTAGACTCTGGCTGGGCTCACCTGTAATCCCAACACTTTGGAGCCCGAGGCAGCCAGATCACCTGAGGTCAGGAGTTTGAGACTAGCCTGTCCAACACGGTAAAACCCCATTTCTACTAAAAATAGAAAAACTAGCCAGGTGTGGTTATGCATGCCTGTAATCCAAGCTACTCAGGAGGCTGAGGCAGGAGAATCGTTTGAACCAGGAAGGTGGGGGTCGCAGTGAGCTGAGATTGTGCCACTGCACTCCAGCCTGGGCAACAAGAGCAAAACTGTCTCAGAAAAAAATAGAATCGAATAAAATAAAAGTCCTAGACTCTATGTAGTATGAGATAAAGGGCAAAAAAATAAACACCGTAAATGAAATAACAAATAATTGAAACAATTAAGTTGTGGCATACCTGAGGAGCTGCAGGTGTCTGCCCAGGGCCTGTGGGGTTTCATTAATGGAACACAGTCTGTCTTCTGGTCCATTCCTAAGATTCTCTCAATTGAAAAGGAGCAAGTTGAGGGTTTGCTTTCCCGGAGCTGAGCGCCTTCCTGAAGGCTGGGAGACATCCTCTCGTGGTCTGTGCAGAGCAACAGCTCTGGCCTCTGCTGGCTCTGCCCCACGTGTATAAGGCTGGGATCTTCCTGCAATTCACCTTACAGCTACGCTGACAAGGGGGCTGGATTTAGAACGTCACTAATTAAAATCCTGTCTTAGAAAGTTTTAGCATGTCAATGAACACTTGCCCAGCCAGAAGCTTAAGGAGTTAATTGTTTATTTGTTTGCAAGTAATTAGCAACTAATGGCTACACCAGGGGGGCCACCTACTGGGACAAAAAGTGTTATCTCTCCTAAGCAGAACACAGACTTAACTTTCTCGAAAGAAGTGATGCACAAATGTGGCATTCCTCTTTTATTTGAAGTCATTAATGTATAAAATCATGCTTTTTATTCTGAAGTTTATACTTTCATGGGCTCCAGTTACCTAAACATACAGGCAAGATACAAGAGCAGTCAAGTAATAAATAATCTAATTTAAGTGAATTTTCTTCCAAGGAAATTGGAAAAAATAATCTCTTAATGCTATTACGGTAATTCTGATGAAAATGCCTGTTTTTCATATGCATATGTAATAGGGAATGTTGTCATTGAAAACACAATAGTATTTGGAGTGCAGCATAGTGGAAAAGGTTGGCAATGATATTAACACGGAGTGTAATTTTCTTCCAAGTGCCTGGATTAATTCATAGGAACAGTTGCACCAAGTATTTTAAATAATTAATGGGCTAATTCCTTTCCTTTCTCTTTTCTTTTAAGTGAGAGAGATACAAGTTTATAGGAAGGTTCATATGTAATCGCCTCCAAGCAATTTAGAAGCATGACTACTTAAAGAGAATAATTTCTCTATAATGGTTATTTTAAAGAAAAGAACATAGTTTACTTTTAAAGAAAAATTTCCCACTGTTGATCTTTTGAGGGATGGGCAAAGGAGGGAGTATTTGAAGATGAAAAGGCTTGTGAAAATAACCAAGTACAGAATGTTTTGATTTCATTATCCCAAGAAAAGTATAGCTGATGACTGGGAAGATTCTGAACTGGCTATTTCCCACAAAAGGAGTACTTGTAGTTCTTGTACTCTGCTCCTCCTCTTCTTCCAGTACCTTCCTGAAGATAAATTTACGTGCTTAGCTTTATTCATTATTTAAACAACTGCTAGACTTTCCTTCAGGGAAGAGGAATAACAGTCTCCACTCATAGCAGAAACAGCCTCTATAGGGTGGCACTTATCTTCATCAGCTGTTATCCTATCATGATCTCACAAATATTGAGCTAAATTCTTCCTCATGAAAGCTCTCAGGTAAATAAAGGATCTCACATGCAAAACATCAACAGGCACACGGATTTATAAATATACGTGTAAAACCATTCTGTGGATGAATAAAGCAGTGAACATTTACACCTCATGGAGATTTTGTACATAGTGCTGAGATGTTGATTGTGCAAAGGTGGGGGGTATCTTAATCTGCGACGACTAGGAGGAAGTGAGAGAATACAGGACCTTCCCAGCTTGCTTTCTTTGAGACATTCATTATTTCCTTCCACAATTGGTTGAGCACCTACTCAGAGCCAGAAAAAAACAAAACAAAACAAAATACTATCCTTGCCTTCATAGGGCTCACAGTGGTGCAGAGTGGGAGACAGGAAACAAATAATAATTTTAGGTAAATTATCTAGTATGTTGGCCAGGATAAGAATGGGAAAAGGAAACAGGTGAACCAGGTAAGATGAATCAGTGCAGGAGGTGGAAGAGTAGACGTCAGTGTAGGCCTCACTGAGCCCCTAAGCCCCACAGATGAGTGCCTCAGAGGCACAAGGCAGAAGGATGCCACAGCACACGCCGGAGCAACTCCAGTTCTCAACTTCTTCATTAACAAATATGTTCCAGTATTTTTATTCAGCTTAAATTTATTTTTTTTGGATTTACATAATATCATTTTATATATGGATGAATAGATGAAAATTAAAGGCAGTAAAAATCATCTAAAAATGTGAGGGAAGGCTTTTCTCATATACTCCCCAATAGATTTGTTTGTTTGTTTGAGACAGAATCTCACTCTGTTGCCCAGGCTGGAGTGTGGTAGCATGATGTTGGCTCACTGCAGCCTCCACCTCCTGGGTTCAAGCAATTCTCCCGCTTCAGCCTCCCCAGTAGCTGGCATTACAGGTGCGCACCACCATGCCTGGCTAATTTTTGTATTTTTAGTAGTGACATGGGTTTCACCAGGTTGACCAGGCTAATCTTGAACTCCTGACCTCAAGTGATCCACCCGCCTCAACCTCCCAAAGTAGTGGGATCCCAAAGTGGTGGCATTACAGGTGTGAGCCACCATGCTTAGCCTCAACAATTTTTATAGGTCACTTAATATGTGCCAGACATTATTATAGGTGCTAGAGATCAGTGATGAACAAAACATGGTAATTCCATGGTGTGATAAATACACTGAAAGGAGTGAACAAGGTGACGGGGATGCAACATAACGGGAGTGAGTAACTTTAAGTACGGTGGTCAGTGGTCAGTGGTGGAGGAGGGCCTGAGGAAGTGGCATTTTCGCTGAAGCTGAGCTAGAATGCCAAGAGCCTGAAAAAAAGCACTGCACTCCGAGGGAACAGCAAGTACAAAGGTCTTGCAGTTGAAAAGCACTTGCAGCCGGGTGCAGTGGCTCACACCTGTAATCCCAGCACTTTGGGAGGCCGGAGCTTGTGGATCATGAGGTCAGGAGATTGAGACTGTTCTGGCCAACATGGAAAAACCCTGTCTCTACTAAAAACTCAAAAATTAGCTGGGTGTGGTGGCAGGTGCCTGTAGTCCCAGCTACTCGGGAGGCTGAGGCAGGAGAATCATTTGAACCTGGGAGGTGGAGGTTGCAGTGAGCTGAGATAGTGCCACTGCAGTCCAGCCTGGTGGCAAAGCGAGACTCTATCTCAAATAATAATAATAATAATAATAATAGGCTGGGCGTGGTGGCTCACACCTGCAATCCCAGCACTTTGGGAGGCTGAGGTGGGCAGATCACCTGAGGTCAGGAGTTCAAGACCAGCCTGGCCAACATGGTGAAACCCCATCTCGAAAAAAAAATAATAAAATAAGGAGAAAACCACTTGAAATATTTGAGGAGGTGGTGGTACCGGGTGCATTTGGAGAGCCAGGACGGACAGGCTGGGTAATGGATGGCCTTTAAAGGACATGGTAAGGAGTTCCAGTGCATAGAGAAGCCAGAGTAGAGTTTTAAGCTGGGACTGATATAATAGAATTTATGTTTTTAAACCTTACCCTGGCTGCTCTGTGGAAAGGGATTAGAGAGAAGTGAGTGTAACCAGGGAGATCAGTTTGGAGTTACTTACTGAACACATTATTTACTAAGCTTATACTACCTGCTAGGCATTGTTCTAGGTGTGAGGGATACACTGGTGAAAACACACATGTTTAGAGGCAAAAGATGATGATCATTTGACAGTAGAGAGGGTAGGTTTGGAGAGAACTGCAATTCTTTTTTTTTTTTTTTTTTTGAGACAGAGTTTCACTCTTGTTACCCAGGCTGGAGTGCGATGGCACGATCTCGGCTCACCGCAACCTCCGCCTCCTGGGTTCAGGCAATTCTCCTGCCTCAGCCTCCTGAGTAGCTGGGATTACAGGCGCGCGCCACCATGCCCGGCTAATGTTTTGTATTTTTTGTGGAGATGGGGTTTCACCATATTGACCAGGTTGGTCTCTATCTCTTGACCTGGTGATCCACCCGCCTCGGCCTCCCAAAGTGCTGGGACTACAGGCGTGAGCCACCACGCCCGGTGAGAAGTGCAATTCTTTAGAAGGTTATGGGAGATTGAAAAATTGAATACTTGGTCCCAATTCTTCAATCCCCATAAAATCATGTATAACCATCCCCTTGCTGTGGTTTCATGGTGGAAACAGTGTACTTCCCACCTCCTGATTTTAGGCTTGACTGGCCAATGGGAAGTGATGGGAGCAGAAGCTCGGTGTGCCCACTTGCGTTTTTTTTTTTTTTTTTTAATTGACATAGTCTTATTCTGTCCCCCAGGCTAGAGTGCAGTGGTGCAATCTCTGCTCACTGCAACCTCCACCTGCCAGGTTCAAGTGATTCTCCTGCCTCAGCCTCCTGAGTAGCTGGGACTACAGGTGAACGTCACTACACCTGACTAATTTTTTTATTTTTAGTAGACATGGGGTTTCACCATACTGGTCAAGCTGGTCTTAAATTCCTGACCTCAAGTGGTCCTTCTGCCTCAGCCTCCCAAAGTGCTGGGATTCAGGCATGTAATTTGTATTTTTAGTAGAGATGGGGTTTCACTATGTTGGTCAGGCTGGTCTCAAATTCCTGACCTCAAGTGATCTGGATGCCTCATCCTCCCAAGGTGCTGGGATAACAGGTGCCCAGCCCCATCTTGTGCTTTTGACTTCACTATGAGATCATCCCTGGGACAGCTGCTGCCCTTCAGCCTGAGCCCCGGAATGAACACACATGGATCAGATCCTAACTCATCCCGTATCCTGCAGTCAAGTCAGCCAAGCCCAGTCAATCTCAGCCAAATATCAACTGACCAGCAGTTTTGTGAGAAAAATATTCATTGTTTAAGCCACTGAAGTTTTTTCTTTTTTTATTATTTATTTATTTATTTTATGTTTTAGAGATAGGGTCTCACTATGTTGTCTAGGCTGGTCTTGAACTCTGGGGGTCAAGCAGTCCTCCTGCCTCAGCTTCCTGAGTAGCTGTGACCACAGGCACCAGCCATTACACTGGCTCCACGGAGGTTTTTGAGGTTATTTTATACATAGTATTTTGGAGGAAATAGCTTTGATTCAGGGGTTAAAGAACATGTCTTGTTGATGGGTTGGATAGGGAGGTGAGGGAAAAGAAGGCATTAAAGATGACTATTTTTTTGGCTTGAGCAAATACAATACCATTTACTGGGATGTGAAAGCCTGGGCTAGGGAATGAAATGTTTGGGGAGAAATGAACAGCTCCAGTTTGGATAGCAAGTTGCTTTAAGCTCAATGCTACAGTGCTAAGTTTATGTATCACCAGCAAAGAGATGGTTTTAGAAGCCATAGGTTTGCATGAGATCATCCAGTGGATGGGCGCAGTGGCTCATGCCTGTAATACCAGACCTTTGGGAGGCTGAGATAGGAGGATCCCTTGAGCCCAGAAGGTGGAGGCTATAGTGAACTGTGTGCATGCCACTGCACTTCAGCCTGGATGAATGAATAAGACCCTGTCTTGAAAAATAAAAAAAATTAGGGAATGATGCTAGATACAAGAAGGGTCTCAGGACTGAGTCTAAGGTGCTCCAACATTTGTAGATTGGGACAGAAGTGGTACTGGAAAAGGAGCAGCTTGTAAGGCAGGAGAAAAATCTGGAGATACAAGAACATAGTCAACAGAGGGAACAGGGTCAAGGAAAAGAATGGTTACAATAGCATCTCTAGCGGCCCCTGCTTCCACCCTGGACCCCCTCATGGCTTTCTATGAACACAGCAGCCAGAGGGATCATTTAAAAATGTAAGTCAGTTCATGTCACAACTCTGCTCAAAAAATGGCTCCTGGCCGGGCATGGTGGCTCATGCCTATAATCCCAGCATTTTGGGTGGCCAGGGGCAGAGGATCGCTTGGGGCCAGGAGTTCAAGATCAGCCTGGGCAACACAGTGAGACCCCACCTCTACAAAACAATTAAAAAATTAGCCAGTCATAGTTGCCTGCACCCATAGTCCCAGCTATTTGGGAGGCTGAGGTGGGAGGATCGCTTGAGCCCATGAGGTCAAGGCTGCTGTGAATTATACCACTGGACTCCAGCCTAGGCAACAGAGCAAGACCCTGTCTCAAAAAAAAAAAAAAAAAAAAAACAACTCCCCATCTCAAAAAAAGTCAAAGTCTTTACAATGGCCTGCAGTACCCTACATGACCTGCCAGCCTTCCTTATCTACTTGATCTCACCTCCTATTTCTCCCTCCCATGTTCGCTCTGTTCTAGCCACACTGGACTCTGCCTCCTCTTCCTGAAAATATCTGGCACAACCCTCCCTTAAGGCATTTACACTGGCTGTTGTCATCTGTAATGTTCCTCCCTTATGATTCCCCACAGCTTACCCCTTTATATACTTCAAGTATTTGCTCAAATATCATCTTCTCAATGAGGCCTACATTTCTCCTCTTTTAATTTGCAATCTCTCTTCCAGCACTCCTGACGTCCCTTGCCCTGCTCCCATTTCTATTCCACAGCATTTAACCACCTTTGGCCATATTACAAAATATAGATTTAATACATTTATTGTCTGTTTCCTCTCTATAGGATTTTTTTTGTGTGTTCTGTTCACGCCCTAGCATTCAAAACAGTGCTTGGGCTAGGAGTGGTAGCTTTCGCCTGTAATTCCGGCACTTCGGGAGACCAATGTGGGCGGGTCACTAGAAGTCAGGAGTTCAAGACCAGCCAGGCCAACATGATGAAACCCCATCTCTACTAAAAATAGAAAAATTAGCTGGGCGTGGTGGCATGCACCTATAATCCCACCTACTGGGGAACCTGAGGCAGGAGAATAGCTTGAATCCTGGAGGCTCAGGTTGCAGTGAGCTGAGATCATGCCATTGTACTCCAGCCTGGGTGAGATGGAGAAAAACACCATCTCAAAAAAACAAAAACAAAACAAAATAGTGCTTGTTTATATTAGGTGAAATGATAAATGATGGTCAACTGTGTCAATGTCACTGAGAGGCTGAGTAACATGAAGACAGAAATGTATCCACTAGGTTTGTTAACAAAGAAGTTATTGGCAGCTTTGGCAAGTCTAGAAAGTAGAGAAAAAGCCAGACGAAAGTAAACTGAAGAGTGAATGGGACATTTTTGGTCTGGCTATATGCTGGATCATATTCCTTGCAACACCCTTCTATTACAAAACAGTTTGATGATAGATAAAACATACCTTTAAATGCATTGCTGAGATCCCAACAAGTTTAAGAGAAAATTTGTTTGTTCGTCAAACAAAACAAAAACCAAAACCAGTACCCAAGCACTGAAATCAGAACTGGGAGCAGTGATCAGTAATCAAATGGTAAACATGGGGTCACCTCCAAGGGTAAATATCTTTAGCATCAAAAATCAAGGTATTAGCTGGGTTTGGTGGCTCACACCTGTAATCCCAGCACTTTGGGAGGCTGAGGCAGGCAGATCACCTGATGTCAGGAGTTCAAGACCAGCCTGACCAACATGGAGAAACCCTGTCTCTACTAAAAATACAAAATTAGCTGGGCATGGTGGTGCATGCCTGTAATACCAGCTACTTGGGAGGCTGAGGCAGGAGAATTGCTTGAACCCAGGAGGCAGAGGTTGCGGTGAGCTGAGATGGCACCATTGCACTCCAGCCTGGGAAAAAAAAAAAAATTTCCCCCTTGAAAAAAAAAAAAAAAAACAACCAAGATACTAATCCTCAGACTAGTAGTAGGTGAGAGCTGAAGACTCCTCCTCCTGGTTCCTAGAAAAAGCAAACCAAACCTTGTCTGGAGGAAAGCATTCCTAATTTGGATTCACAAGATTTCCACATATATAAGCTCATAATCAAAGATCATCAAGCAGGTGAGGCCAGTCACCCCACGAGGAAAAGCCAGCAGAAACGATGAGATTTATAGCCTGTTCCAGAAACTGCTAGTTGTCTGCCAATATCCATTCTATCCTTCCTCAGTAACAATATAATTTTTTTTTTTTTAAATAGAGTCTTAGTCTGTCGCCCAGGCTGGAGTGCCATGGCACGATCTTGGTTCACTGAAACCTGCACCTCCTGGGTTCAAGCAATTCTTTTGCCTCAACTTTCTGAGTAACTGGGATTACAGGTGGGTGCCACCATGCCCAGTTAATCTTTTGTATTTTTAGTAGAGATGAGGTTTCACCATATTGGCCAAGCTGGTCTTGAACTCCTGACCTCGAGTGATCCAACCCTCCTTGGCCTCCCAAAGTGCTAGGATTATAGGCATGAGCCACTGCACCAGCCACAATATGATTTTTAGGTAAAGGTTAACAATGACATTTCCCAGACTGCCTAGCATATAGGTGTGGTCATGTGACTTCTTACCTATGAGATGTGAGCAGAAGCAATGTGTCTCACTTTCAGGCCCAGCTATCAAAAGGTAGGGGTGACTCCCATTTTCTCTTTTCTACTGTCTGGACTGTGGACAAGATGGCGGGAACCGATGAAATGTTGGGAATAGCAGTGTAATGAAAGAGAGGACTTGGAGCCCCGTGGATAGTAGATTGGACTTTCCATATCAGTACTGGACTACCTACTTGGACAAAGAATAAATGTCTGTCTTCTTATTTGGGGTCTGTATGTTATAGCAGTCAAGTCTATACCATAACTAATACAGGTCTAGAAGAAATTCAGATATGGGAGTTAACAACAACAGAATTTAAAATACCTAATAAATGAAAGTTTAAAGAACTAAGAGTTAGAATCATCAACAGGGACAAGAAAAAGAAATTATCACAAATGACTGGGAAGATTTTTAAAAGAACTAAGTAGAATTCATAAAATAAAAAATGTATATAATTATTGAAATATACTCTGGATAAGTTAAAGAGCATTTTGGGTTGTCGTGAGAGTGCCCTTCCCCACACCCTGGCCAAAACTTCCTGTTATAGACATTTTAAATTATTGCCAATCTGACATATAAAATAATTTGTTTCACATTGAAGTAAGGTTGGGCATTTATTTCTTTACAGGTTTATTGGTCAATGTATATTTCCTGTTTTGTGAAATGACAGTGTATGCCCTCAGCCCATTTTTCTATCAAAGTGAAATTTTTGTTTGTTTCTTCATTGTCTTCAGAAGGTGGGGGTGATGGTAGGAACTAAATGGGAAGAAAAATGAGGAAACTTTTTGGGGTGATGGTTATGTTTTATGTTTTGACAGGATTTGGATTATACAGCTGTATGCATTTGCCAATACTCATTGATTGGTACTCTAAAATTTGTTCACTGTATGCAAAATTTTATCTATAAAATAATAAGTACTTAACTAGTCAATGTTATGGATGCTAAAGAGTTTAAGGGGGAAGTACATTGATGTCTACAACTTTATTTATTTATTTATTTATTTATTGAGACGGAATCTTGCTCTGTCTCCCAGGCTGGAGTGCAGTGGTGCGATCGCAGCTCACTGCAGCCTCTGCCTCCTGGGTTCGAGTGATTCTCCTGCCTCAACCTCCCTAGCAGCTTGGATCATAGACCCGCACCACCATGCCTGGCTAATTTTTGTATTTTTTTTTAGTAGAGATGGGGTCTCACCAAGTTGGCCAGGCTGGTCTCGAACTCCTGACCTCAAGTGATCCACCCACCTTGGCCTCCCAAAGTGCTGAGATTATAGGCGTGAACAATGGTGCCCAGCCTTGTTTTACACATTTTAAAGTAAGTTGTAGGCCAGGTGTGATGGCTCACGCCTGTAATTCCAGCACTTTGGGAGGCCAAGGTGGGCTGATCACTTGAAGTCAGTTCGAGACCAGCCTGGCCAATATGATAAAGCCCTGCCTCTACTAAAAATACAAAAATTAGCCGAGCGTGTTGGTCATGCCTGTAATCCTAGCTACTTGGGAGGCTGAGTCACAAGAATAGCTTGAACTGGGGAGGCGAGGTTGCAGTGAGCCATGATAGCACCACTGCATTCCAGCCTGTGTGACAGAGTGAGTGAGATTGTATCTCAAAAAACAAACAAACAAAAAAACCACAAAACATAAAATGGATTGATGGATGGATAAATATGTGATGCTTTCAGTATCTCTCTTATTCAACATTGTTCTGTAATTCTGGACTATTAGAACTTTTAAACCAATTGAGTTTTCTGGGATGCTGAAAATGTTCTTCATCTGAGCTATCTAATATGGTAGCCACTAGCTACATGTGGCTAATGAGCATTTGAAATGTTAGTGCAACTGAGGAACTGAATTTCAAATGTAATTAAGTTTAATTTAATTTAAACTTGGATGGACACACACAGCTAGTGGCTCCATATCAAATAGCACAGACAGAGAACACTTCCATAACTGCAAGAAGTCTTACTGCACAGTGCTGGTCTAGAATTATAGAACAATATTGAAAATAATGATCATAGCCTGGGCGAGGTGGCTAATGCCTATAATCCCAACACTTTGGGACACCAAGGTGGGGTGGATCACCTGAGGTTAGAAGTTTGAGACCAGCTTGGCCAACATGGTGAAACCCCATCTCTACTAAAAATACAAAAAATTAGCTGAGTGTGGTGGCACACGCCTGTAGTCCGATGCTCGGGAGGCTGAGGCAGGAGAATCGCTTGAACCCAGGAGGTGGAGGTTGCAGTGAGCCAAGATCACACCATTGCACTCCAGCCTGGGCAACAAGAAAAGAAAATAGTGATGATAGGAGCAAACACCTTTGTTTTATTCCGACTTCAGAACAGTATTTCACCATTAAAATAATATCTACTGCTGGTTTCTAATAAATGCTGTTTATTTAGCACAGTGTTATAATGAATACAAACACAAAATATCTACAGAGCTTTATAGCTTCTCCAGCATTTTAGCATATTTGTGTTTAATCTTCTCACAAATCTTTTATTATTTTGTAGCTGAAAAAACAGAAACTGAGAGCACAGTTTTAATACCCAGAAGTCACTAACCACAAAGTGGAAGTGATTTGACTTGTATTTTCTGTCTCCAAATCCTGTTTTATTGACTTTACCAATTAATGGCCACTGCAACATCTTCACCAATGATCTCATAGTTTAAATATTAAAGTGTACTAATCAATTAAGGAAAAAACTGAAAACTTTGCATATGATACTCAGTATCTTTCACTTACTTGGATATGAGAAAAAAGTCTGACATTGACATCAAAGAGAAGAGATTTTAGGAATAAAAGGGACAGTCTACATTTCAAATATCTATAAATATAAGATTAAGTAAAAATGGAGAGGTTTATATTTTGTCTTGTTTTATGAACATATAAATCTTTTTTTGATAAAAATGTTTTTTTTTTTTTGAGACGGAGTTTCGCTCTTGTTGTCCAGGCTGGAGTGCAACGGCGCGATCTCAGCTCACCGCAACCTCCGCCTCCTGGGTTCAGGCAATTCTCCTGCCCCAGCCTCCTGAGTAGCTGGGATTACAGGCACGCGCCACCATGCCCAGCTAATGTTTTGTATTTTTTTTTTAGTAGAGACGGGGTTTCACCGTGCTGACCAGGATGGTCTCGATCTCTTGACCTCGTGATCCACCCGCCTCGGCCTCCCAAAGTGCTGGGATTACAGGCTTGAGCCACCGCGCCCGGCCAAAAATTTATTTTTAAATTGTGTATTTCAATTAATATCTAAATCATTAACATCAGGAAAATTGTACTAGATCTGAGGTATTTTGGCAGAGAATTCTGTAAGCCAGCCATACAATTATTATGCTGTGAGTGTAATAAGAAATGGAATAAGCAAAGCTCCAGTGAACCTTGCCCCTTCCTTACTTTTGATTAGAAATTGCACTGATTTCAGACTTTCAGTATTTTTGATGTTAAAATGTTTTTAAAATATTTTATTTTTTATTGCAATACCTTCAGTGATTCCTAGAACAATGCCCAAGTAGACATTCAATAAAATTTGTTAAATGTTAAATAAGTCAATTAAATGGATGGATAGATGGAATTAGCCAAGATGTGACATTCGAAACCTGACATGTAACTTAAATGCTGTACTACTATTGTTTATTATTTAAATTTACTTGAACAGGGTTTAACTATTGGTTGCCATTGTTTTTTACTGTGTAAGGTAATCCCAGTTTTCTGTGAACTACATATGTTATCACTCCAGGGTAATCCACAAAATAGAAGACAATATGGCATTCCGTAACTAAAATGTAATAAAAATTGAGATAGTGTATTTATTTAAAAATCCGAGTTTAGGCTAGGTGCCATGTCTCATGCCTGTAATCCCAGCACTTTGAGAAGCCGAGGTGGGAGAATTGCTTAAACCCAGGAGTTCAAGACCTTCCTGGGGAACACAGTGGGAACTTGTCTCTTCAAAAATTGAAAATTAGCCGGGCGTGGTAGCACAAACCTGTGGTCCCAGCTACTCAGCAGGCTGAGGTGGGGAGATTGGTTAAACATGGGAGGTTGAGGCTGCAGTGAGCTGTGATCATGCCAGTGCACTCCAGTCTGGGTGACAGAGAGAGGCCTTCTCTCAAAAAAAAAAAAAAAAAAAAGGCCAGGCTTGGTGGTTCATGTCTGTAATCCTAGCACTCTGGGAGGTTGAGGCGGGCAGATTACGAGGTCAAGAGATTGAGACCAACCAGGCCAACATGGTGAAACCCTGTCTCTACTAAAAATACAAAAATTAGCTGGGCATGATGGCCTGTGCCTGTAGTCTCAGCTACTCAGGAGGCTGAGGCAGGAGAATTCCTTGAATCTGGGAGGCAGAAGTTGCAGCGAGCCGAGATTGCGCCACTGCACTCCAGCCTGGCGACAGAGTGAGACTCTGTCTCAAAGAAAAAAAACAAAAAAAATCTAAAAATCTTGACTCATGTTGAACAGTTCATATTTGTGGCACTCTGTGGTTTCTTTTTCTTTTTTCTTTCTTTTTTTTTTTAACTGTTTACAGTATTTTTTCTTTTTTTTTTTAATTGCATTTTAGGTTTTGGGATACATGTAAAGAACATGCAAGTTTGTTGCATAGGTACACACGTGGCTGTGTGATTTGCTGCCTTCCTCCCTTTCACCTATATTTCTCCCCATGCTATCTCTCCCCAACTCCCCACCCCCCGCTGTCCCTCCCCTATTTCCCCCCTATTTCCCCCCCAACTGACCCCAGTGTGTAGTGCTCCCCTCCCTGTGTCCATGTGTTCTCATTGTTCAACACCCACCTATGACTGAGAACATGCGGTGTTTGATTTTCTGTTCTTGTGTCAGTTTGCTGAGAATGATGGTTTTCAGGTTCATCCAGGTCCCTACAAAGGACACGAACTCATCGTTTTTGATGGCTGCATAATATTCCATAGTGTATATGTGCCACATTTTCCCTCCAGTCTATCATCGATGGGCATTTGGGTTGGTTCCAGGTCTTTGCTATTGTAAACAGTGCTGCAATGAACATTCGTGTGCATGTGTCCTTATAGTAGAACGATTTATAATCCTTTGGATATATATACCCAGTAATGGGATTGCTGGGTCAAATGGAATTTCTATTTCTAGGTCTTTGAGGAATGGCCACACTGTCTTCCACAATGGTTGAACTAATTTACACTTCCACCAACAGTGTAAAAGTGTTCCTATTTCTCCACATCCTCTCCAGCATCTGGTACTCTGTGGTTTCTATGGCCCTTGTCTGCCATTGTTACTAGAGACACACAGGATCTTTCCCAGTAATTACTACGTTCAGGAGAGCAGGTCTGTTTCATACAGTCTTCTATCTCTCCCTGCACCCAGCACAGTGAC